TAAAATAAATTAAATTTTTCTTCATAGTTTAATGCAATTTTTTGTGTTGGAAAATTTCTGCTCGAACTGCAACGCCTAAACTGGAAATATAATTTATGCATGTTCTGCCGCTCCGTTGCATGCAACGGGCGAGCAACAGTTTAAGTGACAATTTTTACATGTTGCTGCTTTTTATTTGGCCAAGTAATCGATCTTTAAAGTTTTGCTCCTTTTACAACAATTTTTTGTACACAATTTCTTACAACATTAAAAAATATAAACAAAAAAAAATAAAAACGCCAAAATGATATAAAATATCTTGGCCTGAAGTGAGCTTTCTTGTAGCTAAAAATTGTCGCCAATTGCAAATATTTTTGGTTGTGATAAAATTTTAATGTTCTGCCCTAGGGCAACATTAAGAAGGAAGTCGTTCGTCGTACATGTTTACAGCTCACAACTCTCAGTTTACGGTTACGGTTTACGGTTTACGGTTAGTTGTGCCATTAAATGCCGTAAATGGTATATGAGTATTTATGCTGTACAGCGAAATAAACTATTTCGCTTCTTTTTGCAAATAAGATATTTTTCTATCTTATTGCGACCCAATTTCTATGCACTTATACATATGTTCATTGAGTGGTTCGGAATCATTCGAGTATTAAGCGCATTTCTTTTGCTTCGAATGGGAGCATCCGTATCTCGTTGCACAGCACAAAACAATTCAAGTCCTCTTAAGTTTGCTGAAGTGTGTATTTAAAGAATACTAAAGCACAGATGCACTTGCAACTGATATAACAAATGATAAAATTAAGTCCGTAAGGAATGGATTCTTAACTTTTTCCTATTTTTTTTTTGTTTTGCTCCATATTACTTTTTCTATTTATCCGATCTAAAGTGAAATATGAGTTATGTAAGAGTTCTTTAGTATATTCAGTTCATAAAAATACGTTAGGAATTAAGTTTATATTCAATCCTCTTAAATATCCCCTTTCAATTAGTTGCATACACTTATAAGTCATTGATGAGAAATTCAATTTAATATTTTATTTTAAAACTGTGTTCTTCATATTTATTAAAAAAAACTTTATTTTAAAAAACTTTATTCAATTTAATTTGTTTCAAAAATCTGTAGTTAATTAAATAACAGTGTATTAGCGGGATAAGGTGCTTTTTTATAGAAGATTACTTATACATATTTTCATTAGGCTCAATACTAAATAAAACGAACGCAGTTCTGGTTATAAGAGTACATCATTAACGTAGTATCGATATCATTATCAGCATTAGTATCGGTATCATTTAAAGTATCGGTACCAGTATCAGTATCAATATCAGTACCAGCGTTAGCATCAGAACTAGTATTAGTACTAGATATAGTATCAGTATCGGTATCAGTATCAGTAATAGCCTCAGTATCAGTTATAATAACTGTATTAGTATCAGTACCAATATCAGTGTCAGAATGAATATCGGTACAAGTATCAGTGTCAGCATCACCGTCAGCATCAGCATCTGTATCAGTATTAGATATAGTATTAGTATCGGTATCAGTAACAGTATCAGTTATAGTATCGGTATCAGTATCAGTAATAGTATCGGTATCAGTTTTAATAAAAGTTATAGTATCGGTATCAGTATTAGTACCAATATCTGTGTTAGTTTCAGCATCAGTATCAGTATCAATACCATTCTAAGTGTCAGTGTCAGCATCACCGTCAGCATCAGCAGCTGTATCAGTATTAGATATAGTATTAGTATCGGTATCAGTATCAGTAATAGTATCGGTATCAGTTTCAATAAAAGTTATAGTATCGGTATCAGTATTAGTACCAATATCAGTGTTAGTTTCAACATCAGTATCAGTATCAATACCATTCTAAGTGTCAGTGTCAGCATTACCGTCAGCATCAGCAGCTGTATCAGTATTAGATATAGTATCGGTATCAGTATCAGTGTCAGTTTTAGCATTAGCATCAGTAACAACATCAGTATCAGTGTATGTGCTTGTATCAATATGAGTATTAGTAACGACTATGAAAAACAATCAAAGAAGTACCATCACATGGAAGTTCGGAATAAAAAGCATTAATATAAGTTTGTAACATAATTATTTGACAAATCGATAACATGAATTTGAAAATGTAGGAAACATAGCTTTGCATAAAATTAAGACAGAAATTCAAGTTTAGATAAATTCAAGTAGATTCAATCAACCAAAATTTTCAATCCAATCCAATTTTAAACTATTTTTTTATTGTCTCCATGGATAACCCATGTAACCTGATTATTATACTTCATGAAAATAAATGATTTACTAAAATTTCGTTTGTTGTTCTAGTGTAAAACCTTAAAAGTTCTACTGATCCATATAAAGGAGTTGTATTCTTTTTTGATTGTAGAACCAGTATATTGGAGAAAATATATTCCCTAATATATTACATTGACTTTAAATAAATTAAATATTGACTTAAATCTTAACTCATCAAATTTTGACTTAAAATCTGTACATGTTTCTATACACATATAGGTATATAGACATATAACATATATATGTATATATATGTATATGTTTTGAAACTTTAAAATACGGTTTAAAATCGTCTGATGTGCTATTCCTGATAAAGCTGGCAAACCGGATCTAATATGATCCACGCTGAATACTTAAATAATTAAAAATATACTTAAACTGTTAGTATATCTGTTAAATTAAAGATAATTCTCAGTAAAAATTTGTGTCTTGAGTTTTACCAGACTTTAGCAATTTGTCATTCTTTAATGGCAAATTCATTCTACCTCTTTTGGGCGGAAATGGCAGAGTAAACTATTTCACAAAGTGCATTAAAATCAAGACAACGGAGCTTTGGGGTCATCTTCTCTATTCTATTCTATATGTACTTTGTTTCTGAAAATGACCAAATTTAATTAGTTAATCGTGTTTGCTTATTTTGAAAGAATTTTCTTTAAATTTTAATTAGTGAAGATTGATGTGAATATATGTTATATAGAATGAGTAGATTATCCTGACTAATCTACCCTTTCAAGAGAATTTGTCAGAAAAAAAAAACATTATTGATTATGTTACACATATATCTTGTTTACCAGAAATGGCACAATATGAGATTATAAAATATATATCAAAACGATTATTTTTGGCTATAAATCGTCAAATCGTCAAAGGATATGATTACGAGTTTTCGAAAAATACTAGCCACATTTGTTTTGTTGCAGTATCTTTAATTATTTTAAATATTTTATTTATTTGGCTTTAAGAAGACTGTTTCAAATTCCATGGTATATTAGATCAACAGACATACATAGAGATCTTAGGATTGACTCAGTGAAAAAATGTATCAGAGAAAGAGCTCTAAAATTATTCACTGAAGTTGATACGATACTTAACCCCGCCCTAAAAATTATAAAATCCACTTCTGCACTCTCAGGAAGATATGATAATTTAAGGTCCGTCTTTAGCCTAGTTAAAGCCTAGTGTGGGGTAGTGATAAGCCCCCCAGCCATTATAGAGTAAAAGTGCGTAATAGCACTAACTCAAGAACTAGAAGAAGAAGAATTTGTTAATAATATATAAAATGCACTATAATAATAATGATAATAATTAAATATTGAATTTGTTAATAATAAATAAAATATGCTGTAATAATAATTATATATATATAATATAATAAATTAAATATATAATTATAATATATAATATATAAGGAAATATATTAGAATATAGAATAATTTATAAAATAAAAGAATTAAATAATAATATATAAAATTTAAAAAATTTAAATGAATAATTGTTAATTGAATCTGTTTTATTAAAAATATTATATATTCAATATTCAAACATGAAGTATTTTTTAACCAAATTTAAATAACGCTACTATTCATATTACAATTCTCTCTATTCGACGTTGTGGTAAATCTTAAATTTAATATCCTTTACTAAATTTTAAAAAAACTATAAAATATGAGTTCAATTTTTATTTTTTTAAAAAATTATTAAAAATTAATATCTCAACAGCAAATAAATTTGTTGGAAAAATGTATATTGTTCCTGGATTGTAGCACAAAAATAAAAATAATTTTTTAATTAACAACTTTTAAAGTCCTTAAAGCGTAAAATGAAAAGTACTACAAATTTTGTTGTTGTTGTTTTTATATAGATTTTTTTAGTTAAAAATATACAGTCGGTGCAATAACAACAACAACGTACACACATAAACCACTTGTATTCTCCTGCCGTATGCAATGCTATATCCTTTTTTGCAATTTCAACTGCAATTCGATACCATATTGACCTCGTTTATTGAAGCGTTAAGCAAATATTTGTGCAAATAAAATGCAGCAAAGGATAAAATTATAGTTGGAACAAAGAAAAAAAAATAAACAATCACAGAAACAACAATAATTGTTATTGCTCGAGCAACTAAAACAAAAAACTATGCAAAAAAAAAAAATGAAATAAACGAGGATGCAAAACCCATAAGGACTCCTTCCCCATATGCTGAAGAGTTTTTTGCTGCAAGTTTGCAATACAACGAAACTTCATTTTAAATGCAAAATCAATATTTTAATAGTGGCAACGGTAATGTTGCCAAGTTGCCGTAAATCGTGTGCAGGTGGCAGCATTGATTTATGCAATTTTAAACGAAATTTCATTATAATATCATCAGTTTTAAAAATTTTTGGAAAACTTTTAAAAACAATTTGAGTTTCTACCACAAAAATATATTCATCAAGCACAATATGTGGCAAGCAAGGAATTTTTTACTATCTAAAGTATTTAAAGCAATTTCAATATAAGAATAATATTACCTCCAAAATGATTTATCTCAACTTATATCAGTTTAGTACGGCAAATAATTTCAATTAAACTTTAAATATAATTCAATAAAATTAGTCATTTTTAACACTTTTAGTCCTTACTCCTCATGCTTCATTAAGTATTATTATAAAATTTAAAATATTACTTGATGGCATCCTTTTAATCATGTACCTTCTTCCTTCATTTCCAGGTCGTTGAGTTAATTGATGCTGCAGCAATTAATTCCACTGCAGTGCGCTTGGACTGGGTGATGCACGTCAGTGTTACCGAGAAATATGTTGAGGTAAGTTACTAGGTGCTGAAATGCACTCTCTACTCTCTACTTTTAATAATTTTAATTGTATTTTAATCACATTTTTAATGATAAATTGCAATTTCATCGTTTGATTAATGAGAATTTTGTTGACTTATTATCTCACGACAGGGTATTTATGTGCGCTATCGCGATGTCAGTGCTAATGCACAGCAATACAACATAATGACAGTTTTAAATCCATCGATTGAGTCACATGTGGTGGCAAATTTGAAGGAATATACCAAATATGAATTCTTCCTGGCACCATTCTATCAGAAATTAGAAGGGCAACCCAGTAATTCGAAACTGGTGCAAACATATGAAGATGGTAAGTGTTTTATAATTCTTTTACTGCATGTATTATATATAAATAATTTAATAATTATATAACTTATATATATGTTAACTAATGTGATTAGTTGTAAATTATATATTCTTTATGCAGATATATTGTGTATATAATAGTGATACTCGAATTTTAAATAGTTTGAATTTTCGAATATTAGCATATAATTTGAATAATTCGAATAATTCAAATAGTTAATTCACTCTTTCTGTTACTGCAAAACGAATAACCATTCAAACCATTCGAGCTATTCATATCAAAATCAAACAGAAAATATTCGAATAGTATACACCATTCGACCTGTTCGTTGCAAAATGTTTAACTAATTAAGGACATAATTCAAACTATTCAAACTATTCGTTACAAAACGAATAAGTAATTATTCGAATAATTCAAATCATTCGTGCTATTCGTAGCAAAAGGATTTATTCGAATAGTATACACCATTTGAGCTATTCGAATAATTCAAACCATTCGTGCTATTCACAGAAAAAACAAAAAGGAATTATTCGAATAGTAAGTAAGTAATTAATCGAATAATTCAAACTATTGAGCTATTCGCTAAACGAACAAAGAGTAGTTCGAATATGCTGCCCCATATTATTCTAATAGTTCGAATCATTCGATTCGAATTCGAATATTGTTATTCACTAGATAGTATAAATATCAAATTATTCAAATATTATTAGATTAGTTTTCAAACACGCCACAATACAATACAATATGAATCAATACGTATATTTGAAGACAACTATTGAGTATTATAGTGTTCTTGAAGTTGTCAGAAAAATGCGAACTAAACTAACTTTTGTGGCAAATATGACGTCTTATCTATATCAAACTTTTGGCTTGTCAGAATAATTTAAGGAGATCTAATGAATCTAATATTGCTAACTTTGCGAGACTAGCGAAAAAAACAGTCTCCTAAACATTGGAGCTGCTTGGTTTTTAGCTTCAGGATAAAAACAGTGATTGATAAAAACAGTGCCCCAATATTAAAGCATTGAATCGTTAGCACTTCATCTCATTAGAACGTTAGTAAACAGCAACTTATGCCTATTTTACAAAGACTATATAAATTGCTAACAATGATTGGGCGCCTAGAATGCTGATTACGAATTATTAGTGGTTGCCATGCCATATCTCAAAACGTAAGCTATGTTGTCATATCGCATAAAGAAAAAAATTTTTATCTTTATAACAGGATTTTATTTTATAGATGAGATTAAAGTTATACTAAAGTTGACTTTGGCTAAATCTGCCAGGTCAGCGAAGAAACGTTCTGCTGGCTGGCTTTACTAAAATTCATTGTGAGCCAGAGAAATCTGTATCGTACTCAAATGATTTTTTTAAAACTCTGTTTTGTGGAAGATTACAAAATTAAGTATACATCTTTATGTCTTTAAATTTAAAAGAGGATATCTTCTATAATTCTATATATCCTTATAAATTTTTTGATTACAAAAACGTTTGATTAAATTTATTTAATTAAAATATACATAATATATATATATAATATTATCTAATATATATATATAATATTATCTAATATGTATATATCTTCCTTTTGAAGAAAATTAAAATAAAATATAAATCAAAACAGAATAGTTTTATATCCCTATGTGCTTAAAAATGTCCTATGTCCTTATTGTATTGAAGCAGTAAAAAATCCTTATATTATAAAAGCTTATGATAAAATTTATTTAATTAAAATACGTATATATATATCTAGTTGTAACAATGCATATAACAGTTTAATAATCCCTTAACTGATATTTTATGTGCTTTATATTACAAAAAAAAATATGATAAAAAATATCTTTGTTAAATATTGTTAATAGCAACAAATTATTAACAAATATGTGTAAAATTTTCATTAAGCTTCCGTTTCCGCTGCCTTTGTTGCTAAGCTTCTGCTGTAATATGAACAAAATACGTACAAAATACTTTTAAATACTTTTGAAATTTTTTCAAAAGCAAATTTAATAAAAATTAGAAAAAGAAAATTGATAACAAAAATATTTAAACCAAATTTAATAAACAGCAAAAATGTTTGAAAACTTTTTACCAAAAAAATAAAAATAAAAAATATCCTGAAATAAAAGTTAAAAAATATAAAATTTGAATTTTTCCCATGATTGCGTTGCCTGAGTACCACGGAGTTAACCGACATGGGAAAAGTTTGATATGAAAATTTAATTGGCCAAAGGTGCACCATTCCCGTTTATACATAAATATTTATGTACCTGCATATGCAATTCCATATGGTAGCTTAAACATATGTAAAATTGTATGTACATATATACATGTTTATTATATACGCAAATACATTAATAAACCGCAACCGCAAAGGCGTCCCACACATGTGTTGGAATGCCCTGTTATGTCCTTTTGCATACAAACAAATTTATATGAATTCATGCATTTTTCATGCCGTTGCCTTGCTTTAACTCCAAAATGACATTTTGCAAAAATAATGAAAACAAACAGTAGAGCTTTAGTTTTTTTTAATATTTAAAAAAATTATTTTTGAACTTTATATTTATTACGCTCTGTTCTTACAGTACCATCGGCTCCGCCGGACAACATACAAATTGGCATGTATAACCTGACCGCCGGTTGGGTGCGTTGGGCCCCACCACCGCCACAACATCATAACGGAAATTTGTTGGGCTATAAAATTGAGGTAGGTTCATATATATGGAATTATATTTTTTTTGGTTTTGGTTTTAATAGTTACTCAGTTGAGATTACTTTTCATAAAACAAAAACCCAAATAAGATAAAATAAATTTATTTTATTTATAAAGTTAATTTGAAAGGTTCGTTAATTATTTTCTACAAAATTTAAATTGAGTCATATTATAATTAACTAATTATAATTAAAGAAATTTAATTTACTGCATTTAAAGCAAATATCGGGAAGAACGAGAATAACTTAATTTTCTAGAGTCATACGGAAAAACTATCAACTGTATTGCATCCGTGTAGATATCATAAAGTGTATTTTTGAATCAGTTATACTATTATCTCTTATATGATACAGATACTCTCATTAAAAAGAATAAGAATCATAAAACACATCACCTCATGATGGATTGATCTACCACCTACACCCCGTTAAATTGAACAAAAAACAAGTGAGGATGAAGAGATTCTAATATCACTGTTCAGTGTACATCAGAGAATTACTACACAATATACTTTATTACTGTTTTGCTTTTATTACTGCATTGCATGTTCTTTACAAATTTCTTAAACCATAAATAATGTCTTTAAACTTCTGTGTTGAAATCACAGTGGTACGCATCCTCAACGATCCCTTCACAGCTGGAACAAGCGATGAATACACTGTTTAAAGACTCTATGTCCAGTTAGGATCACCATGTGTCCTATTTATCTATACATCAAACTTTGGGGTCAGCATATGTGTCCATCTCCGACTCGTTCCACCGCTGTTATTATGCAAGTAAGGTAGCGCGGCGTGCCTCATCCTTCGGCAATCTTCTATGCCAAAACCCTCGCAATTCGTACGCCAGCAGATCAAGTGGCGACATGCTTGCTATAACACAGATAGCATTGTCCGATATAGTGCTGAAAGCACTAATGCACGTAGCGTGCTTAACCAGAATATACTTCTTACGCCTGCAGCCTATGTGCTCATTCACATGACAGAAGTACAGATAGGAGCTGCAGATAATACTACAGAACTGGTGACTCTTGGCAGGAGTTTATGCTTATTATGCTTAGTGACTCGTATGCTCAAAGTTATCGCCATTGCCATGGGTCCATGACAACCCAACCTATGGAACATATAGGTCTTAGTTGTCGATTTTATATTTTTTTAACAAATGCAGTTTTCAGCAATGTTATAATCAAATATTATTGACTAGTGCTATAAGAATAGATGAAGTCCCCAGTTATAAACAATTTAATTATTTAAGTTAATAAGATTTTATTAAAAACTGTTACTAGCACAAGCTGTAATATAGTAAAATTCAGCAAACATACTAAACTAAATTTATTTTAATAAAATTGCAAAAATGCTTGCAATACTCAAAAAGTATCTCAACTGTGAATAATATGAATTTTATGAAATGAGCTAAACATGACCCAAGTGCCCTTCAATCTATGCGCTTGACTTTTTGACATAACAAAAATATTATTTCCAGGTGACTGCCGGTAATACTAATAAGGTGCTGGCGAATATGACGTTGAACGCAACAACAACATCCGTACTACTGAATAATCTTACAACAGGAGCAACATACAATGTCAGATTGAACTCTTTTACGAAAGCTGGTGAAGGACCTTACTGTGTACCGGTAAGTACAATATTTTTACTTCAATATGGATTATATTTTATGTTAAATTTTTTATTATAATTTATGCTTAAAATAAAAATATTATAAATTTTATATATTTTATTTAAAACAGATTTCACTATTTATGGATCCAGCACATCTGGTACATCCACCACGCGCTCATCCAAGCGGCACACATAATGGTATTCCTGGACACAGTGAAGGCGGTCACTTTGCTTATCATCCAAACGGCATGCCAGATGATGCAGCCACAACAACAACACACCGGAAATCAACAACTGTTGTACATGAGACTTGGTTTATGGCGCTTGTGATAATAATGTTGCTTGCAATACTAATATCCGCTGCAGCCGCCATGTTATTCTTTAAACGGCGTCACAAGTTAACCAAGGAGTTGGGACATTTAAGCGGTGAGCAAAATGCGAAATGCATAAAAAAGAGTCAGATACATTTATATGATAGAAAAATAGTAGAAAAAAATTTTTAATAGAAAATAAATGTAACACAGACTTTTGTCTACAAACAGAATTTTTAAGTTAAAACTTTAGCTTTTAAATACTTTATGTTGCCATTAGCCACAAGCAGCAGCATTTGGCTTAAAACCTTTGAATTTCGTTGGCAAATATAAAAGCCAAAAAGGACTGCTTTTACGGTATTCGAAAAGTATTTAACACTGAACACTGAACACTGAAGTCTTTTAGAAAGCAATTTACAGTACAATGAAAAAATGCTTTTGATTTGCATACAAAATAGCATGAAGCATACTTAATAGAAAGGATTTACCACATAGCATAGTGAATGTGAATGAAGCCTTTATTTTTTTCATTAAATCAAAACGTTTTTTTTTTGTTTTGTTTTGATTTTTTTTTTCTATGTTCCATTGCAGTAGTCAGTACCAATGAAATAACTGCACTGAATATCAATGGCAAGGACAGCCTTTGGATTGATAGAGGTTGGCGCACCACAGACACAGACAAGGATTCGGGCCTTAGTGAAACTAAATTGCTATCGAATGCCAACAGTCAGTCGAATTATACATCTGATGGTGGCACCGACTATGCCGAAGTGGACACTCGCAATATGAGCACATTCTACAATTGCAGAAAGGCAAGTATAATACTCCTACCATAGAGAAAAATCAAATCAGTTTACACGTAAAATAAAAAGAAAGAGAAGAAAAAAAATTAAAACTAATTTTGTCTGATTTCTATGAAAGTGACTACAATTTTAATTTCCACTTTTTTGCTCTTACTTTTATACAATAGAGTCCCGAAAATCCGACACCTTATGCAACGACTATGATTATTGGTGCCTCATCTACCGAAACGACTTGCATGAAAACATCATCCTCAAGCACTGACCAAGACTCCGGCACTCATTCACCACATTCGGATGGTACAACACCACAATGCACTGGTGGCGGTAATGCTGTCATTGCTGGCTTACCAGGCGGTCCAAACACAAAACACAGCTATCATCAATATCCACCAGGTTGGTTTGCGTTTGAATGTAATTTAATGAATTTTTAATATCGGCATGTCATAATCCTTGCAATATGCAAAAAACTATATATCAAAGCGCATCCGTTTACTATCCTAGCTTTCGATTTCTTTCATTCTCTAATATTTTTTGTTTATAACATTCTTTCTCCTTCTAATCATACACAATTCGATTTCATTTTCTTTATTTTGCATTTCTCAAAATTTTCCTTTGTACAGATATCCTTTGTTTCTAATATTGCTCCATTGTGTGTGGTGCACACTTTTTCGTATGCTCGTATCCTTTCGTTATATAGAATTTATCACAGATCCTTTATCGGTGCTTTTTTAAAACTATTTTCGTACCGATTCTTTCCTTTTACATTTTTTATTTTCTAAGGCACGACGTTACATTCTTTTGTTTTCGCAGTCGATTTGATTTGCTTAAAAAGATTTCGACATTTTTTGGTTTCTATATTTGATATCCTTGATATCCTTGATATTCTTGATTTGCTTTAGTTTAAATCTCGTTTTATTTTTGGCCATTGATTGCCATTGACAGCTGCACAAGTGGGGGTAATATGCTTCCTTTTTATTTGTTTCTTACGTTGCTTAAACGATTTGTATTTTCTAGATACTTTTTTTCAATTCCTTATTTTTGTTTTTTTTTTTGCCCTCTTCTTTTGTACACTCCGCATTATGTTGGAATATCAAGCAACCCCTGCAGCAAGGATTTTTCCTTTTCTGCAGTGGGTTAAGCTGGTATTTCTTGTATTTGCAATATTAAAATTTCAATTACTCGAGGCGTGTACTTTCAAGTGTTTCCTGTTTGTAAGTGATAGATAAGATTTGTTTGCGCTCCTTCGGATTGAGGCTGCTGAAGTGTATCAGCCTGCGGCGCTTCGCAAGTTTTCAAGTTTCGTAGGAACTTTCCCAAAGATTCTTAACCGATAAACTGAAATAGTTTTATTGAGTGTCGTTTTATGTAATTATACACACAACTTCAATATGTTCCAAATGTTCAAAATGTTCAAAATGTAAAGGAATTTTGTTATTGAAACGAGCGGAATTTTAAATAAAAATTTTTATTATAGATTTTTTGTAATAAATATATTAAAACTATTTTAAGTTTGAAGGGAAAGATAAGAAACAGGATAATAACAAAATAAATTGGTTGAGTAAATGAGTTTAAGTTACAAAACTGTCAAATAAGTACAACGAAGTAATAATAAGTAGAAAACTTAATGGATAAAAAGGTTAATTTGCGAGGGATATACTTTAAGAGCCCATCATACCATACAAAATTGTTTAAGTAAAAATGTTTAAATTACAAAAGATTTTACTCAATTTAGTAGTACTAAGTCGAAATCTTCATACATATAAGGATTCACTTAATAGAGCTAATTTCTCAGAGACCGTTATATTTAATAAGGAGAATAAAATTGTGTATGAAAGAGTTTACTGAGTTCGACAAAGTAGTAATAACTAGAAATCTTAAGTGATATATTGGTATATTTATTAGAACTATTTTCAGAGAGACCCTCGTATTGAAAAAGTAAAATGAAACTATGTACGAAAGAGTTTACAGTTTTACAAAGTATAAATCTTAATGGATATAGAGGTTTATTTGTTAGACCCATTTTCTAAGAGGCCCACGTATTGAATCAGAAGAATCAAATAAGGTACGAAAGAGTTAACAGGGTTCGACAAAGTAATAATAAGCAGAAACCTAAATAGATATTTGTTAGAACTATTTTCTAACATATGAGACCATCGTATTGAATCAGAAGAATAAAATAAGGTACGAAAGAGTTAACAGGGTTCGACAAAGTAATAATAAGTAGAAGTCTTAATAGATATATAGACTCATTTGTTAGAACTATTTTCTAAGAGACCGTTACGTTGAATCAGAAGAAAAACTAGTTGCGGAAGAATTTACGGACTTCGACAAAGGAGTAATAAGTAGAAAGCTTAATGAATATTTGCTAAAGGTGTTTTTTAAAAGACTATCGTGTTCTATACTTTACAGTAGAATTAACTGAATTAATAATAAATAATTTTTTATAATTCATTAATATTAATTGAATTAAAAATTAATAATACATAGAAATTTTAATAGAAATTCATTTCCTGAAATTCATAGTCGACAAACAAGTACCAAGTAGAGATCTTAAGAAATATAGAGGCTTATATGTTAAAGGTATTCCGTAAGAGAACATCGTACAATATCAATGGAATAAAAGTGTTTCAATTACGACAATATTTACTTAATTTGACAAAGTATCAATAAGTAGAAATCTTACTTAATAACGTGGGTTATTTGTTAGAGGTATATTTTTGGAAAGCATTATGAAACCTATGGGTTATCTAACTGTAATAAACAATATATTTTTGGAAAGCTGAAAACGTATTGTATGCTTTTATTAAAGCAAAGTCATAGCTTTGTATTACATACCATTTAGTTGTTATTCGTCTTCGAATATGTAAAAACCGAAAAGAATCCGCAACTTTTAGAAAATACGAGACCTAGATAATATGTAAGTAAATTGGAAAAAGGATCGAATCATCCGCACTTAGCTAAGAAACCAGTTTTAATTCTACATTACTCATAATTGTGGATAGAAAGTTGACTGTATCAGAATCAGCCAGACCACAAATACACTCTGTTTTATAAAACTCATCCCTACATCCTTTGTTGATCATATTTCAATGAAAATTATCCCAGATGTAAGAAATACTGAAAACTAGAGGAAGATAAATATAGCAACTAAGTTGAATATTGTGATTATGCAGTTGAGGTGCAATTACTAATTCTTATATAGAAGTACCTTAACGATTTAAATCAAAAACATTAACGTTAGTCTTAAACATAAAATCCAAAACACAACATTAGAAATAATCCTTATACATAAGACATGATTTCATGTCACATCTCATACCTTATATCCAAATATTTCGAAATATCTCTTGTGGCTGTATTGGCTATTGTAGCTGTATTGGATGTTCGGGGATTGAAAAAATTATATTAGTCAGTTTCCCATTCTAACTATTATAAATAAGATTATCATAAATTACAAAATTTAATAGATATAAAATGAATCCTTACTATAAATATATTTGGTAGTATTTATAACAAGTTAACATTATGCATCTCAAATGATGACGCTAACACCATCCGCTCATATAAATGAGTCCATACTCATGTCATTTCTTTAAAATTGGCTAAACTATTCCATCTCATCATTACCTGTCTTCTCTTCCTTGATTTGTTAGCATATATTTTGAAGAAGCCTTAGAATACTACTATGCGCATTGTTCATTCATTCGCACACATACATTAATCTGCACATACTTCACTGACATTGCAACCAATACACAAAGAGTACCCGACTCGATAAACGAGATGCAGTTTTATAAATTATAATTATTAATTATTAAAATATTTGAAAATAGTATTTAGTTTACAGATTAATTTATAATGAAAGCTATTAATAAACATTTATTTCTTTTTTATTTTTTTTTTTTATAAAACACTTTTCTAAAACTTCTTTAAAAAATTTAATTTTCTTTATATTTTCTTTAATAATTCTATACTTTATAAACTTTCTATGATTTCATGTAACTCCTAAACTCCGGTTCCTTTTTGTTCTCCTAACTTTGGTGTCGTAAAAACTTAAAACAAACACAACAAAAAAAAAAAACACAAAAACAAAACGTACCAAATTATTAATAGAACAAATAAATTGGTCAGAATTTTTACCTCCACCACCGGAACATCCACCACCAGTGCCATCTTCTTGTGGCTATGCACCTGGCTCACCACAATCTTCACGTAAAAGTTCAAAAAGTGGCGGTTCTGGTGTTTCAACACATCAGAGGTTTGTATATAATTTTTTATTATATATTTAAATTTTTTATTTAAATTTTTTGTTTTTTTTTATATTTCTACGCCCTCAATTAAATACTAACTTTAGTGCTCTGAATTCCTCCATACATAGCAGTTCATCTGGAGGTTTCTCATCTTGGGGTGTAGCACCACAATGTGCTTCAACTCGACAACAGGAAAACTATTATAATAATCCACTGCCTTGCGTAGGAGGCGCACAAAATCGTTATCAAATCACACCAACTGGACAGCATCCACCACCATTGCCACCCTACTATCCACAAGCAGTAGCAGGTACTGCACAATTGCCACAACGGAATATACATATCCATTATCCACCACCTAGACATGCTATAAGCGAATATCAACCTAGTGGCACACATAATTCCCGTTGTTCAAATGGCAGGTAAGTTGATATTAAAGGAGTATTATGCATATAATGAGATATAATATGTATGTATGAGTATATAGTTGAATTATATATGCAAGTACAGACAAACTTATGGCAACACAGAATTAATTGGAATAGAATTTGTAGTGCCTAAGGAAGCACAGAAATATTATTTTTTTTTTATGAAGAACTAAAAGCTTATATAAATAGTTTTTAACAGCATTTCACTTCAGTTAACAAAAAAAAAAGTTAAAGTTTTTAGGAAGTACTGTTTCTCTTCTTATGTTATATTCCAATCAACACCCAATTTATTTTATCTTTCATTCATTTTAATTAATTTCCATACTTCATTCTTTAATTTCTTTAGAGGCTGCAATAGTTGTGATGTATTAACTTCTCCAATACAACCACTGCCACCACCCGGTGAAGGCTGGTATCAACCTTTACACAACCAAGTTCCACCAAACTCATCTGCACATCAAATCTATCAATGTTCCTCCGAATGTTCCGATCACTCCAGGCACTCACACTCGCATGGACACGGACATATGCATCATAACGGCCATCATGGACATCAACATCACCATGGACACAGCAACACCAACACACATGGTAACACCAACGATACTATGCGTTCCGAGAGTAGTCAGGAAAATGGTAAACCCATCACAAACTGTCGCAGTCAGAAATCATCTAATAATGGTTATGCCGATATCAATGAAACTGAACGCGATCAAATACTTAAGAACTCTTCCGCATCCTACACCTACGAGGTACTCGGCGATCATCGTAACTGCAGTGATTGTTGTAGTTCACGTGAAGGTGATACATGCTCATGCAGTGAGGGCTCCTGTTTGTACGCTGAGGCCGGTGAGCCTGGCATGCCAATGAGCACCGTTGCTGCGTCTAATAAAATGAATGCCCCAAACAATTGATATGCAACAACTTTTGTGACGGATGTGGTCATGCATTTTTAGTCGAAGAGATTTTAGAGTGTGAGTAGCATAAATATTTATTTTTATTAATTAGATTAACCATAAGTATTGTGTATTGTACATTAAACATGTAGCAGCTCTTTCAAAATCATCGAATATGTACACTTTCATTATGATAACTTTTAGTAACTCTTTGAAGGAAAATTTTTGCTTTAATAAATTTCTTCTTCAACTATTTTTAATTAAAACAAATTTAGGATTATGTCTCGAATGGAAATATTTCAAGAAAATTCCTTTATTTTACTTTAACTATAAGCGAGCATTTTACACATAATTTTGTGTAATTTATTAAAGTTTTTTATTTCATTAGATTTCTTTTCCCCTCCTCCATTCACTTAGTGCTTCCCACATCGATTGAGTTTAGTTCGAGACAATTTTCGCGTGACTTGAACACATTTTGCATGTCATTAAAATGCTGCCACAAATGCCACACTGCGCCAGCCTGTCAAAATCATAGCCATGGCACATAGCTAAAAGTCAGTCAGTCAGTAAAATCCTACTAAATCCTATGCTGCTTTTAAAAAATCGCTCCTTTTAACTGCGGCTCCTTACAACAATCCAACATAAATTGCTGGTAATTTTCTATGTACAATAACGAAATTTATTTCTTTACATTTGTTGGCATTTCATGGTTGCCATCAACTTCAACGTCATTTCTATTTCGTTGCCTATTGTTAGGCGCATTGGCGGTTCATCACAATTTATAGCGAACGATTTTTATAATAGAGTTTTGTGATTTACCAGACGAGCTTCTATCGCATAGATAGCGATTACTTATAAATACATGAGGGTTATTTTATATATGTAATAACTAAAGCTATGTTATCGCTTATATACATGCTATGTATATGCTTAGTACATACTGCATGCCTATGGTATTTACAGTGGTTATAAATAGAGTGCAACTTGAACAATGCACCGCTCGTTTGGCACTTATTGACATTTTAAGTAAGCAAATTTTATAAGAAGCACGCGATTCTGGTTTCACTGGATGTGTGCCCGTTGTTGTGGGGCAGTCATAAAATTTGCCACAAAACCAGCGTGGAATACCTTCAAACGAAAGGAGCAATAATTCAACATAAATAAATCATGAATATAGTAGCAATAAAGGCACAAAACATTTTTAATGAGCGCAAATTAGGTGCAAAATATCACGAAAGTTAAATGTTGAAAAGTTAAGATTAAAACCAAAAACTATTTTTACACTAAACCGTTTTTAATAAATTTTTAGCAGATTTTGTCATGACACTATTAAAGAAATTTTTAAAAATATATCTTATATTAACTGAAGCTCTTTGTATCAGATACTAAAAAATATAGCGTTCTTAAAATAATTAATAATAACTGGATTAACATTAATAATCAGTCATTTAAACCATTTAGCCAAAAAAAAACACGGACTAATGCTGAATATTGTAGGCTAGGTTAGATGAAGAGAGTGTGTGGTATTACAATTATAAACAATTTCACTCTGAGCCATCTACTGCCCATTATAATACCTTCAAAATTGTCAGAAAGTAGCGAATTATACTTTTCTTATGACTCCTAAACCATTTGCTGAACAGTGTGAGACTTGAGTCCACTAAAACCACCTCTTAAGAATGATTATAAATGATTGCAGCTGCGTTCTGCAGATGCAACTCCATTCCAGTAATGAAGGGCAAAAATGGGAGCAGAAATGAGAGCACATAGATTTAGTATTTAGCAAGCCAAAATTATTCAAACTAGAGAGCCTGGACTTACTTATTTGAAATGTATGTGTTTATGTTTGAAAGAGGGATAAGCAAATACTTGTAGAAAGTCTAGTCTGGTATATCTCTACACTTAGAGATTCTTTAAATACAGGACATCCGAAGTTTGCTAGATGGCCAATTAGGCTATCGCAGCACCTCCAAAATGTACCGGACAGCTGAAGCTGTGTGATTAGGTTGAAAACAATGCAGACATCTTGTTTTCGCCTTAGGCATGGGTTTCCCTACAACAACCGCAACAATGTATGGTTAGGCTTAGCGGTATGGTAATACCGCTGACATTGGTTGATACATTGCGATACATCGGTGTGAGATTTCCGTACTAAGAAGATAATTTTTAGGGACAGACGTTTGGGGACACCGAGCAGTGACGTCATGTCAGTGCCTGGATGCAACTACCAAAGGGAAAAAAGTAGCATACATTCAGCCGGGGGCTGAATTCTCTTAATTCCACTTTTAATATGATTACATGATCTCGTACTTGAATATTTTACACTATATTTAGCACAAAATTAATTAAGAAATGTATTAAATGATATATGGATATTGAGTTATATTTAGTGAAAAAACACTGAGACTGTATGGGACCTATAGCTTGCTACTACTTTTATTTAAAGTCTTTCTACGTGGTTATTTTATTTACCCGGAAGATTCCTAAATAATATCGGGATTATAATGGTACAAATCATGGCTTAGGGATTATTAATTATCACAGACGAGTAGCTCTGCGCTGTAGCGCCTACTATTTTTGAAGATTGTTTTCATACTGCCTAATAGGTTGAATTTATATCGCAAATGTTAGAACTTTAATGGCAGATTTTAGCATTTTTGGATTACCGATAATTAGCGATTTTAGGTTTTTTTGGGATTTGTATTGCAATTAAAGTTGCAATAGATGTTGTTAGTGGTATTTGATTGCCAATGACGTTTGACACTCGAATAATTACCCTATTGTTTTTAAATATGATTTTAAATACAATTAATGGTTCTTAATAAAATATTCTTATTATGTTGAAGCTATTTAAGCCAGTGCACTTAAGCACTTTTACTCTTTCTTAACTCAAGGTATTTTCAAAACCCTTCTTTACGCATTAACTGGATTATTGTTTATCACTTCATCTGCATACCTCCCCGAGGAGCCTGTAGCCATTCTTGATTTGATAGCGCGGTGTTGGTAAATCTGTCAGTTTTCGCAAATAATTTCAGGGCTTTATGTATTTTTTGATGTGATCAATCTTGAGGTTCCTGAGGATGTCATTCATCCTCATGTACCATAGTAGTTTGAAAAATATTCTCAGAGTCTGCCTTTGTGCAATTTCTAGCTAGCGAATAGTAGTGTTTGAAGCTTTGTTAAACGCTACACAACCATATAGAAGTGACGGACGAATTATTTGGTTATATATCAGCTTTCTGTTCTCAGCACTGAGATTTTCATTTCTGAATAGCGATTGAAGGTGATAAAGAATTTTGACACAGCTAAATCTTTTCCGTTGAACATGTTTAAGCTATGTGAATCGTTTGTCCAGCGTGATACCGAGATATTTAACGCTATCCTCCCAGTTTATTACCATACCACCCACTCTCACTCTCGACGGATTCTGTCTCCACTTACGCGTTATAAACAGAGCATAATATATAATTTGTTTTAATTTACATATTAATTTTATTAAATTTTTATTAAAGCAAAATTTCCTTAACAAAATTGTAAGACGTGTAAATTTTGTTTAGAAAAGTGTGCCATAATGTGTATATTCCCTCCTTTCCTAACCTTATATTAAAATAATAGTTATTATATATATATTATACTGTGTGTATGTTATTTAATTAAACTGTCAGTTATTTAAGTATATGAGTTTTGATTTAAAGGTTTCGGAGAAAATATACTTGAAAACCTTGAGAACAAAACTCATTGCTTAAAGAATTGAATTAATGTTTTTAAAAATGCATGATTTTAAAATATAAAAATTAATTGATTAAATAAAACAATTTTTAAACATGTAAGAATTTGTATAGAAAATAAAAAAAATGGCATTAAGCATAACAAAATACAGGGTAAAAAACAAGCAAGTTTAAAAAATTTTAAAATTATTATGAAATCATCAAAACGAGTAAATGTTTTTTATATGTAAAATTTCAGTAAAAGATAATGCATTTATACTATAGAAATAAAATACAATTCTTAACAAAGACATCAATAGATTTAAAAAAAAAAAATATTTAAATTGAAAATAAAAATTAAAAATATAGTAAAATTAAATTAAAATTGTGTTCAGGTTGTTAAATAACAAAAATACGTACGCAAATCAAGCACAAAGCAACAATAAAGCCCGAAGTAGTTAAAGGCTTTGAATGCCTGCTATAAGGACTGCTTCATAAGCAACGTATATAGTATATAGCAATATTACCTAAATATTTTCAAAACAATAATAAATGTATTTTAGATGTTTAATATGTAATATATAGACGAAATACAATAATTGAGAGAAATTTTGCACTACTGAATAAAATATTGCCTAAAATATTAATCGATGCAATAGAAACTTGTACGACTACGCCCGTTCAAAAATATTTATATAAATGAATAAAATATTACAAATAAAAAAAAAAAAATTAATTGTAATAAAAATTTAACTTTTAGATACAACACATGGTTAGTGGTTAAATAAAAATAATGTTTAAAATAAAATTAAAAATAATATTAAAAATAAACAAAAATAATATAAAACTACTTAAGCTAATTTTTAAATTTAACAAAAAAAAAAAAAGTAGCGGAAAAATAAAAATAGAATTTCTAGCATACTTAGTCTTAGTAAACTAAAAGTGTTTTTTATTTTTAAACTTACAAGAAAAAAAATATAGACGTGAAATTTCATTTTGTGTGAAAAATTTAAGCACAAAACTCCTAACAAAAAATGTATTTATTTTTTGTATTTAACTAAAATGTACGTGTACCTGTGATATTACATATTTCATTGAACTTTATCATTATCAATTCTATATGTTGATTTGTTATAATTTTAGCAACTAATTACGTTTACGTTTAAACGCATATGAATTCGACATATTAATTAGCTAAAATAATAAGAAAAATAAAACAAAATCAAATTAAAACTTCGAATTAAATAATAATAATTTTTATATATATAAAAAAAATAAAAATAAATGTTTAAGACTCTTATAAACATAACATTTAATATTTTAAGATTCTTTAGCAAAAAAAAAAAAATAATATTGCTAAATAATAAAACGTTATATACAAATTTGTTGCAATAGCAAATTTCTCTATAAGCCATACATGTATATAATTTATGTAAATTACTGCATTTAAGCTTAAAATTTATAAATA